ACTTACACAGTCACATTGTACCTTACTCACCAGCTCCCACAGTGCTGAAGGTAAACTAAGAGAACTTCCGCCGCCTCTGTACATGGGAGACCTCTATGATCCAACATGGACGTCATCCAGGCTGAATTGCTCAGTTTTACCTGCCAAAGGGTTCACCATTTTGGCCAGCCATTCCTGGGCTAAATCTCCACTAGTCAGTCCGATTTCCCTTCATGGTTTAGCATGAAAAGGGTCAGCTCTTCTTAATGGACAGAAGTGAGAGTGCTGATCCCCTGTCCAATGGAGAGGCTGGAAGCACAGAGGTGATGTATGTGAAGCAGTAACCATCCAGTATATGGTTTTCATGAGTGTATTTATTTATTTACTACAGGTATTTATATAGCGCCGACAATTTACACAGCACTTTACATAGTGCACATTCATATTAGTCCCTGCCCTCAAGGAGCTTACAATCTAAGGTCCCTATCTCACATGCATACATAGAGGGACAACTTAGAGAGGAGCCAATTACCCTACCAGCATGTCTTTGGAATGTGGGAGGAAAGCAGAGTACCCGGAGGAAACCCACACAAGCACAGGGAGAACATGCAAACTCCTTGCAGATAGTGACCTGGCCGGGATTCGAACCAGGGACCTCCAGTGCTGCAAGGCAGAAGCGCTAACCACTACACCACTACATATTTTGCAGTTTGCTTGGAATCTTGCTTGTACGTGCAGCTCCACACAAGTCCACCAAGCTGGGGTGAGTGTGATGTATGACCTAACCCCACTTTTCTACCTCCATTTCCATCAATTTTAATCTCTGCCCTGACTTCCCTACAGGACGGACTACAGCACCCGAGGTGTAAAAGCATGCTCATGGTCCAGGCTATATGTAGAAGCAGTACCCAGTCTCCAGTATATGGCTCATGGTCCAGGCTATGTGTAGAAGCAGTACCCAGTCTCCAGTATACGGCTCATGGTCCAGGCTATGTGTAGAAGCAGTACCCAGTCTCCAGTATACGGCTCATGGTCCATGCAATCTTTAGAAGCACATTACAAACAAGTGTACACAGATAACAGTAATGTTACAACTGCAGTTTACACAAGTAAGCCGGCCGGCAGAACACACTGGTATGAACAGGACTTCAGCTTCGGTTTACGGAAATAACATTTTCACAAGAAATGTCAACAGTATTATTTGTTCAAGTTGGACTGCAAACAGGCAAAGCAGGTTTTGCTTAAAGCCCTGAAGAGTCAGGCTGGTAAGAGCGGAAACACAGCCAACAGTTCAAAGTGTAAAAAGCCAGACACTTCCCGATCTCCATCCAGGGGACTTGGCGGGGAAGAGGAAATTAAAATGACATTAAAGTCAAAGATTTTTTTCCCTCCCCCTAATGTTAATGTCAGCACTTACCTTAAATGATGTTTCTTAATCCGATGATCTTCTTTCCTGTCCTTTTCATCTGTCCCTCCAGTGCTGCTGCGGGTCTCCGATCCAGCACTGTTTCATCTGTCCTTGCTGGCACTTCCTGTCCCACGGTGTCTGAATGCGGGTGCACGCGTCCATAGACTTACCTTGCGTCTCTCCTCGTCTCCCGGCTGAAAATGTGAACTGCGCATGCGCCCGCCCAGAGATGCTTTGCGGCCACCCGAGACTTTTCACATTTTCGGACGGGAGCGCGCAGGGAAGACACAGGTTTTTTTCTTTACACCTTTTGCATATATCTACTACTGCTTGCTAGCTATATATGCCAAAACACCGGAGAGTTTAATAACCCTTTAATATCCTCACAGAGGATTTACGCCATCATTGGGCCATAAAAGTCACATCCAGACATGGTGAGAGGACCTTGTTCTTCAGAAGATCTTGAGTAAGCCTCTCGTCTGAGGAAACGCAGTCATTATGTAATCGTCATCTCACGAGGCCGATCATTAAATGTTTCACTTCTATTTACTATACACAGGACGTGTTTGTCGCCTCAGGTTTGGAAAACTTTGGGTGTTAAATTATACCACATACTTGCTATGACTGCCGAGTGCGATGAGCGATTTGTTTTTACTGCACCAGCGCTGGGTGTGGAGGACGGAGGACAGCTTTCTAGAACAGAAATGCAAAGCGGCTTTTTGCATTTCGCAAAGATAATAAACTGTCATCTCAACGCAAAAACTTTGGCTGCATCCCCGGTGTTCAACATGTGGGCTCTGCGTGCCACCCACTGTGCCCTGGGCTAGGTCCCAGACACCAATGCGGGGGGTCATTATTGCAGTCCCTGACACCAATGCTGGGGGGGGTCATTATTGCAGCCACTGACAGCAATGCTGGGGGTCATTATTGCAGTCCCTGACACCAATGCTGGGGGTTATTATTGCAGCCACTGACACCAATGCTGGGGGTTATTATTGCAGCCACTGACACCAATGCTGGGGGTTATTGTTGCAGTCACTGACACCAATGCTGGGGGTTATTGTTGCAGCCACTGGCACCAATGCTGGGGGTTATTGTTGCAGCCACTGACACCAATGCTGGGGGTTATTATTGAAGGACGCCAATGGTGAGGCCCATTTTATTACCACTTTACCTTGTGGTACATGGCTATAAATGCAGCAGGACCAGGTGTTGAGGTGCGTTACAGTCTATTCATTTTGAATGGGCTGCGTAACTTGACACAATGCACCTCAACGAACGTTAACACGCTGCTACTGTGCGGCCTCTTTTCTATCATTTTCCGGTTGACCCCCCAAATGGTCTACACAGTACCAGCCGACAGATATAAAGGCCAATTAAGGACCTGTGTCAATGGGCTTTGACGGACACATGTAGCGTGCTCTTGACATCAGTTTCAGACACTTCCGGATCATTCTGAACTCACTGGTAGGTGCATTGGACCTTCATTTGCATTTCTTCAGCTGCTTTTGCATTCCTATAGACTTGTATGGGCATAGAAGCAGTTCTCAAGTGAACAAAAGCCAGTCAACACTGACCTCAATGGAGTCCTGTATACATTACAGAAATCATTTAAATTTTATAGATCTGAAATGCAAGGGGTCCTCCTGGTGTGAAGGGGGAGACCTTCCTAAGGTGGAGGTGGGGGGATTCCAGATGTGGAGGCTTTGGTGTGGGAAAAGGGCTCCTGATGTGAAGGGGGGTCCTGATTTGAAGAGGGGGGACCCAGGTGTGAAGGAAGCGTTTCTGATG